CATACACATTGCGTGCGGTTCTGAGGATGATTTTAGGGTTGAGGGTTTTAGATTTGCTGAATGTCAGTTTGTCATGAATGTGGCATTGGTTGTTGAAGCACGCACAAGTACAAGTGTAGATGATACCACATACACTTCTATGGCACCCCTGTGGTGTTTAAGTTCTCACTCACGCCGCCAATGTCATGTCATGTCTTGACATTTTTTTTGTATCATATGCCTGCAGATTGGTGCTGTCCTGTCACCCAATTAAACTGAACCCTAAACCCTAAACCCCTTAACAGGAGCAGATCACACACCGGGCCATGCAGCGACTGAGTTTGCGCAACAATGGGAGTGGCAGGTGAGTGGCCCCATCGCATGTGCTGTGCTGTGACTAAAAACCCTAAACCCTACGGCAACCCCTTACACAGCCGTGCACATCAAAGTTTTTAGGGATCAGTATTTCAGACCCATTGTATGTTTTTGGAGTTTTAGGGTTTAGGGGTTTGAGTTAGGCAAGTAGTCGGTGTAGGTGCAGGTGCATTGCGGTCCCAATGGCAAGTGGACAGGACACCTGGATGTCGCACGTACGATTGGATTCAAACTGCGTTTCCGTTCCAGCAACGTTTAGCGTAAGCAATTGACTGCATCTCTGACATGTCATGAAACCTTAAACCTCAAAACCCTGACATAGCATGTGTGATGTTTGTGCACTATGGCTGTACCAGTGCTCGAGTGATTGGCGTTACCTATTCTGCAGTGTATGCGCACACTCTGAATGGGTGGAAAAAAGATGTATGATTTGATGTGTAGGTAGATTACATAGATCTATAATGTGATGACGTGTTTGTAGATTACATAGATGTGTGTCTATGTGGTGTGCAATTAGCTTAAATAGATGTGTCTGTATGTGATGTGTATGGATATTGAAACGAATGCTTGCGATTGTTTAAACAGTCGTTTTAAATTGCATATGAGACTACTTACATGCAACGTATAGGGTCCATAGTACTTCAACCGTTTATCTCTCTCTCGCTAGTTTAAAGCTTAGCTACTTATACCTCTGTTGAGTGTGTTGAGGGGTATAGTAATTGCTATTGTTATTGTTATTGTTATTGTTATTGTTATTGTTATTGTTATTGTTATTGTTATTGTTATTGTTATTGTTATTGTTATTGTTATTGTTATTGTTATTGTTATTGTTATTGTTGTTATTGTTATTGTTATTGTTATTGTTATTGTTATAGTTATTGATATTGGTATTGTTATGGTTATTGTTATTGTTATAGTTATTGTTATTGTTATTGTTACAGTTATTGTTATTGTTCTTGTTATTATTATAGTTATTGTTACTGTTGTTGTTATCGTTATTGTTATTGTTATTGTTATTGTTATTGTTATTGTTATTGTTATTGTTATTGTTGTTATTGTTATTATTATTGTTATTGTAATTGTTATTATCGTTGTTATTGTTATAGTTATAGTTGTTGTTATACTTATAGTTATTGTTGTTATTGTTATTGTTTTAGTTATTGTTAAGGTTTTTTTTCATTTTTGTTGAAGTTTGTCGTTCAGTGTTTTGTTATTGGTCGTTGGTGACGTTGTCAACAGACGACAGAAAGAGTTTTGCGCCGCTGTGAGGACTACTTAAGACTGCCCAAGAACCATAAAACAACGCAATCGCGCATCACACGCAATGTCTTACACCCTAAACCCCTGAAACATAGTGATTGCCAAAAGGTCAGATATGGCTGTGATCTTCGTAACAGAAATACTGAATTTCAAAATAAGGTTGCGACCTGTCGAGTTGTCTATTCTTCTGGGTTCTAGGGTTCTTTAGAGTGTTGGTTCTCATATGCACTTCCCTTTGACGTTGTACAGTGGCGATTCGGCGGCTATGCAGAAGAAATCAGAAGAAGCAGCGCCGTAGTATTATGATACGGACGACACCTGCAAACACACAGTGTTTCGGTTACCCATTTCTGCGCAACCATCACACAACAGACGCATATCTCAAAAACCCTAAACCCTGTATAGGCTACGTCAGAGTGCCTCGCTTTCACAGTAGGGCAGGGACAGGGGTACTGAGGGTTTAGAGTTTTACCTAAAACCCTAAAACCCTAAAACGCTCGAGGGCTTGCCCACTCGAGTGTAGGAGGGCATACCAACGTAACGTGAGTGAGAGGAGTGGTGTCTGCTGGTACACACATCAAATAGCACAAACACAGGCTACCAGCATTGATTGGTGTTGGATGGTATCTCTCGGACTGAGTATTGCACTTCCTATGGACTGTGAACGTGTGGAGGGGCGCCATAGTGCTGATAGTGTATACAGTAGTTCAATTGTGTGATCGTCCGTCAGCCCATACTCTCGAGCATTGTGCTGTGGACAGCAATCTGTGGAGATGCACTTCTGGAGCGAACACCATCGCGTGTGAGCCTCTGTTATGAGAGTTTGGCGGTGGTTGGGACATCGGAGTCTTTGGTTTGTAGCACGCGCTAAGGTGGACTGGCACGGACATGTGCGAGCACGTAGTACAACACACCCAAGCCACTGACCACGCAACTAAAACCCGAAACCCCTAAACCCCTAACCCAACTGCCAGGAAGTGTGGGAGAGCACAGTTGAAGCGGTACACTCTATTCGCCGGCGAATTTGGCGTGGGGTTCGATGAACCCCAGTGTGTACTATCTGCGCCCGTTGTGTGCATTACACACTTCAGTGGGGCTGTATGAGGCCTGTGTGTGTGTGTTTGGCACTTTCTCGTGTGCGTTTCCATTGTGTGCCCATGAGGTGGGCGCTTCAGGCCACAGAGGCCGAGAGAGTAACTGGCGCGGTTGTATCTGAAGTCGTGCCCACGAAATATAGGTAAGCCATATTGATGTTCATACTGAGTTTTCAACAGAAAGATCAGGAGAAATGGCGCTTAGGATTGGTGGGTACAATAAACTGACTGAAGGAGCTTGTAGAGTGCCGCTACAAATCAGGCGAAGCTGCTACTGAGAGGTTCTTGGGGGTACATAAGAACAGAGTTAGTTGGTACCAAGAATATTGCGTCAAACAAATGCAACACTTCTGATTTTGTGTTGTTTTCAGGGGGGGGGGAACATCCACCATTGACATCATCGTATAGCGGTACTGCAATGCACATTATGTGAAATATTAAATTGGATCATCATTCACCACAACATTTTCTAGAGGTTTCTCACTAGGGCACACTTGCCTACGTGTACTGCCCGCGCTAGAACCATTTTTTATGCGTTTGATTTATCAGCTTGTAATGCGGCTTTTATATGGTCATCTGATCTGCATAGAAGATTGAATTCTTGCTCCACAAATATAACTATACACGAATATACACA